GATTATATGGGGTACAATCAGAAAACTGCAAAAATGCAGAAAACTGAATCTATCCTCTGTTTTAAGTGTCCTAAATATGTCTAAGATTGTAGCCTGTTTATCATGTTTGTGCAGGAAATGAAAATCTGAACTTTCATACCACAAAGATTTTGCCAGGAGAATTGATCTCAAAAAGAAAATAGGAATCAGGAAGATAGTTTTTTGATAAGGGATTCCAGGCTATAAGCATTATAAAACCCAAAGAGAGCTGAAAATAGTTCAAGAGTGTACTTTGAGATAATTCATTATAAAACTCATAAAACACAATGTTTTCATTAAAAAAAATGTGTACAGGTAGTTCTCAACTTACAACCACAATTGAGCACAAAATTTCTGTTGCTAAGGGAAACATTTGTTAAGTGAGTTTGCCCCATTGTATGACCATTCTTGACATAATTGTTAAGTGAATCATTGTAGTTGTTAAGTTAGTGACACGGTTGTTAAATGAATCTGGCTTCCCCATTGACTTTGCTTGTCAGAAGGCTGCAAAAGGGTATTATGTGACCCTGGGATATTGCAACCATCATAAATATGAGTCCGTTCCCAAACATTTGAATTTTGATAATGAGATTACAGGAAGACTGCAACAGTCATAAATGTGAAAAATGGTCATAAGTCACTTTTTTCAGTGCTGTTGTAACTTTGAATAGTCACTAAATGAACTGCTGTGAGTCAAGAACTACTTGCATTCGGTTATGTAACAACATGCTAGTATTAGGTACAGGGCATATTCCTTGTCAGTAGGGACATATACATCATGATCTAGAACTGTTCCTTTGACCAAGGAAATAAGGAGATAAAATATTTTTACTAACCCTTTTTCTTTTGGTACTTACAGGAAGCTGATGGCTTGGCGGATGCTGAGGAGAGATGTGACCAACTAATTAAAACCAAAATCCAACTGGAAGCTAAAATTAAGGAGCTCACTGAGCGAGCTGAAGATGAAGAAGAAATGAATGCTGAATTGACAGCCAAGAAGAGGAAACTGGAGGACGAATGCTCAGAACTGAAGAAAGACATTGATGACCTTGAGCTGACACTGGCCAAGGTTGAAAAGGAGAAGCATGCTACAGAAAATAAGGTATTGGAAAGAATATGCTGAAATTAAATTGGTACCCACTATTGCCATTTCAAAATAGATAGAACATTTTAATTCTGTCTGTTCAACATTTAAAGGTGAAAAACCTTACTGAAGAGATAGCGGTCTTGGACGAGGCCATTGCCAAACTGACCAAGGAGAAGAAAGCCCTGCAAGAGGCCCATCAACAGACCTTGGATGATCTGCAGGCAGAGGAAGACAAAGTGAACACTCTGACCAAAGCAAAAACCAAGCTGGAACAGCAAGTGGATGATGTAAGCATGCTATCATCCCCAAAGAAGAATTGGATTGAGGTGGAGGTACTGCTGTGATGGCACCATTACTCTGATCTCTTTGTCTTCAGCTTGAAGGGTCTCTGGAGCAAGAAAAGAAACTTCGCATGGACCTTGAAAGAGCTAAGAGGAAGCTAGAAGGGGATTTGAAACTAGCTCAGGAATCCACAATGGATTTGGAAAATGATAAGCAGCAGCTGGATGAAAAGCTGAAGAAGTAAGTATTAGTGTCTATTATGAGGGACTTTTGTGCTAAATGGAGTTTTTTGATTTGGTGGCTAACTATTATATTTTGTTGTGATAAGGAAAGACTTTGAAACCAGCCAACTCCAGAGCAGGATTGAAGATGAGCAGGTCCTGGGCTCCCAGCTTCAGAAGAAGATCAAGGAGCTGCAGGTCTGTCATACAGTAGTTCCTTTATGAATGGTGAATTAAGCTATCTGGAAGCCCGTTTCAGGGTTTATGGTTGCCTCTCCTTCTCTAGGCTCGTATTGAGGAATTGGAAGAGGAGATTGAGGCAGAACGGGCATCTCGCGCCAAAGCAGAGAAACAGCGGGGTGATCTCTCCAGGGAACTTGAGGAGATCAGCGAACGTCTGGAGGAAGCTGGTGGAGCAACTGCAGCTCAGATTGAGATGAACAAGAAACGTGAGGCAGAATTTCAGAAAATGCGCCGGGACCTTGAAGAGGCCACCTTGCAGCATGAAGCCACTGGTGCTGCCCTCCGCAAAAAGCATGCAGATAGTGCAGCTGAATATGCAGAGCAAATTGATAACTTACAGCGAGTGAAGCAGAAACTGGAGAAGGAGAAGAGTGAACTGAAGATGGAGATTGATGATCTTGCAAGCAATATGGAATCTGTCTCTAAAACCAAGGTATAGATACTTTCCTGCATGAGAGATAATTATAAGAACTATTGCATCCTCTCAGAAGTGTGGCATGCTTTAAGTTGTTCAATTACTATCTTCATCAGATCAGGTAGTTTTCTTGGATTTCACCTAGGAATAGATGGATCACTCTGTTTTGATGATAATGATCAGTTATGAGCTGTTCTAATTTATAATTTATTAACATTATAATTATGCTTTCTATACTATCAACTTCTAAAGATTCCTGGTGGTTTTCAGAATTACATAAAACCATAGCATGTAAAGCATCTCTCACATTGCTTATTGTGAGCCGCCCTGAGTCCTGTGGAGATAGGGCAGCATATAAATCCAATTAAATAAATAAAAATAATAATAAATAATAAATAAATAAATAATTGCTGAAACCCATATAACAATTCCTCCTCAAGTGTAGAAGAAAGATCTGTCTTTAGAACCCTCTGGGAAATTGTCAGGAAGGCCTTTATTCAAATCTCTAGCTGTAGAGTATTCCATAACATAGGGGAATATATAGGAGACGCAGCATGCTCATGTTTCTCCATACTGACTTCATTCAAGGGTGTCACTCTTAAAATCATTATTCTGGCTCAATGCCCATTCTATTCCATGCAGAATATTGATTCCTTCAGAAATGTAGATGCCAAGTCATAACAAGCTTTATGGATTACCACTCACACTTTGAATTGTACCTGAAAGCCAATGCACTGTTTGTAAAACAGGTGCTATGTGGTATATGCAGGTCTCATCCAATATGAATTGCTACATTCTATGCCACCTGCATAATCCAGTTCCATGTTACCTTCCAGATTTTCAAAGTTCTCATTTAGTAGTTTGCAGAATATTTCAATATTTTTCTATTTGCTGATTTCAGTCAACTCTTGAGAAATTATCCCGGTCCTTAGAAGATCAACTGAGTGAGATTAAAGCAAAGGCGGAAGAGCAGCAGCGTACAATTAATGACCTTTCTGCCCAGAAAGCTCGCTTGCAGACAGAAGCAGGTAAGAAGAAATGCTGAAGTATTTTAGGAATGATTTATTCTACATGCCACTAATAGTATTTGAGTTTGCAGGCAAAATAAGATCAGAAGAAGATACCATGTATTTTATTATTATGGATGCTATTACTTATTATTATTAGTAGTAATATCTTTTTAACACTATTGTAAACAGTAATAATTTTATCTATTGCTGATCTGTGACTGTAATAAAGTTGTTGTTGTTATTGATGATGATGACAATGATGATCAGAAGATGCTAACATCCAAGGAATACAACATTGGCTAGTGAAATTCAAAATATAAAACAACAGAAGTGTTTGTCACCTGTGATTTGGCTAGGAAATATTTTTAAGTTGCTGCCAGAAAAAAATTTGATTTTACTAAATTAAGTACTGTAGACCACAACATAGTTACTCCTATATGAAAATGATCCTGGTTTTCTTTCTTGCTGCAAGTTATGTTTCACAACTCCATCTTTGATGAGGCATACAAATTTTACTAATAGCAGAGGTATCACAGAATTTATCTGGGAAATATGAGAGGTCCCCCTCCCCAAATTTGTATTTTAAGTGACAAGTGTTGTTCGGTAAGATATTAGAAACAACTTAAAACATAACTAATATCAAAATGCCATGTACCTCTGCTTTAAAATTTTCCAGTTGCTGCTATTCATCTGTACTTTCTTCAACAATTAGTTCAGTCACGTCAACCTCCTGTCTTCTTCTTTTCTGCTTCTCAGGTGAACTTGCCCGCCAAGTGGAAGAAAAAGACTCTCTGATTTCCCAATTCTCAAGAGGCAAACAAGGCTTCACCCAACAGATTGAAGAATTGAAGAGGCAACTTGAAGAGGAAATAAAGGTATGCTTTAGGTGAAGATCTACAGGTGCAAATCATGACTTATTTGCATCCTTGAGCAACTTCCAGGTTAAAGGTGCTTAAAGGTGCTTTTCTCTTTCTCTGTTACAAAGCAGAATTGCCAATACTATGTGCAACTCTCATATTTTAAAAAAGTGAACAATTAAAGATTTGCATTTAAAGGCCAAAAAGCAAACCTGAAAGAAAAAGTAACACAAGTGGGAGCTGTTAATAATGCCACCATTAAATTTGGGGAAAGCATTTAAGACATCTTCATTTTTCTAGGCTAAAAATGCACTGGCTCATGGCTTGCAATCAGCTCGTCATGATTGTGATTTACTCCGGGAACAATTTGAGGAAGAGCAAGAAGCCAAAGCTGAGCTACAGCGTGCCCTGTCCAAAGCCAACAGCGAGGTTGCCCAATGGAGAACCAAATACGAGACTGATGCAATTCAGCGCACTGAAGAGTTAGAGGAGGCCAAGTATGTGAGACTTGGAATAGTTTTGTAGTAAAAAATAAATTACAAGGACAAACGAGGTATAATTACCATAAGAGAAAGTAATTTTAGCCACATCTCTGAGAGTGATAACATAAACTATTTTTAAAATAGTTTATGAGCTATCATAAACTATTTTCTCTCTACGCAGAAGTCTCCGCTTGCAGCAAAAAGAAAGCACCAAGAAGTGACAGTCCAGTAGTTTTACAGATATTCTCTTAGCTTAAACTACAACACTTCAAGACAAATAATGGCTAATACTACAGGATCATTGTAAACTACTCCAAATCTTGCAAAATAACTAATCCAGAATAATGTTTTTTATGGAAAGAAATTATTTGTAGTTTATCTCCAAGCATCTTCAAGCATTGCATTTAAATGACAAAAAGTGCATTTGTATAGAGTGAACAAATCTCTGTAAAACATTTTATGCAATAATTTCATGACCTTTTGCAAATTAAAATAGTAATTCATTGCAACAGCCCATATAAATATAATTCACTTTTTGAAAATTTAATAAGTTCAAATCCAAGTTTTATGCTGATTATCCATTTAGAGTGAAATGTCTTTAGTTTTAATTTATTCCTATAATTAAAGTTTAAACAGCATATTATTTGGTATTTGAATCTGATGAGGGATTTGTGTGAGGATTCATGAGACATCAAATAAGAACATGGAAGTATAAATGATAATCACAATTATTATCTTATATCACATTAAAATAATACATTTCATGGAAACAGCTCAAATATTTTATAATTTGCTATCAATCATTGGGAATTCAAATTTTACATATCTGCATAAGATACTTAAGTCTGAAATAATGTTATCAATAAGACAATATAAAAAATAAAAATTAATCTTAATTATTTAAACTATTTTACAGTTTACCATTCTCCAATAACCATTCTCATTTTCAAAAGTTTTTCAATCTGTCCTGCATGACAAATTAGTGCTTCATGAGATCATTTGCATAATACAGAAATGATTTGCATAACTCTTAAAAAGCTTGAAAATGAAATAGTTTCCACGCCAATAACAGAGAAGTGTGTGTCGTTTTTATGCATATCATATGATTGTGAATTTGTCTTCCTTTCATATTTTCTAAGCAGATTCATTGCTAATAGTTGGTCATTCATTGCTCCAGGAAAAAGCTTGCTCAGCGTTTGCAGGAAGCTGAGGAACATGTAGAAGCTGTGAATTCCAAATGTGCTTCCTTGGAGAAGACCAAGCAGAGGTTGCAGAATGAAGTGGAGGACCTGATGATTGATGTGGAAAGGTCCAATGCAGCTTGTGCAGCTCTAGATAAGAAACAGAAGAACTTTGATAAGGTATTTTGCTCCTGATGATTAAAAAGGAACACTTTGCACCAAGACGTTGGGCCAATTAAATTTAGTATCTTATTTCTTTATCAAATTTGTATGACACTGATGACTCAATGACTCTTTACAGATTCTGGCAGACTGGAAACAGAAATTTGAGGAAGCTCAATCTGAACTGGAAGCTTCCCAGAAGGAGTCTCGGTCTCTGAGCACAGAGCTTTTCAAGATGAAGAACTCATATGAAGAATCCTTGGATCACCTGGAAACTCTGAAGCGTGAAAACAAGAACCTTCAGCGTAAGTCTATAAGCTTCTTACTATAAGCTTCTATTTAGGACACTGAAGATACAAAAGTGAGAAAAATTGATTATGTAATGGTTCTACCATCTTCTATGGAGCAACAAGTAACAAGCATAATAAAATAATCCCCTATAGGCATTCTCCTCATGATTAGGATATACATATGTAGAAGTGTTGTCTGCTCATGCAGTATTAACTGATCAGTTCCAAATGGATGAGCTTGGAAGAGCCAAGGAAATATTCTTTTCTCAAACATTCAGCCTAAAACTGTTAGTAAATGGTACCCACCTTACCCGCTTTATTTTGTGTGAAATCAACAGAGGAGATAGCTGACCTAACGGAACAGATTGCTGAGGGAGGAAAAGCCATTCACGAACTGGAAAAAGTGAAGAAACATATTGAACAGGAGAAATGTGAACTCCAAGCTTCCCTGGAGGAGGCTGAGGTAATTGTGTTATTATCCTTAAAGAAAACAAAAGCTCAATTTTTTTTAACGCATGTTAAAGCACTCTAAAATATGTTTTAGAAAACCAGTTAGACAAGTATGGACAATGCTGTTATTTAGATGACTCTTTAATAACAGCTGATATACTTGATATTCTTAAGGCTTCTCTGGAACATGAAGAAGGCAAACTCCTGCGCGTCCAAATGGAGCTCAACCAGGTGAAATCTGACATCGACAGAAGAATTGCAGAGAAAGATGAAGAAATTGATCAAATGAAGAGGAATCATGTGAGGGTGATAGAGTCCATGCAGAGCACATTGGACGCTGAGATTAGGAGCAGGAATGATGCCCTGCGTCTTAAGAAGAAGATGGAGGGAGATCTGAATGAGATGGAGATCCAACTGAGCCATGCCAACCGTCAAGGTGCTGAAGCACTAAAAAACCTCAGGAACACACAAGGAGTGCTCAAGGTATGTTCTAGGCAGGTTCAAGAAAGCATCAGGAAATCACTACAATTGTTAAGATTTCAAGAGTTATCCCTTAAAATATTTTTTTTTCACAGGACACACAACTGCATTTGGATGATTCTTTGAGAGGCCAAGAAGATTTGAAGGAACAAGTATCCATGGCTGAGCGCAGAGCAAACTTGATGCAGGCTGAGATTGAGGAGCTCCGGGCAGCTCTGGAACAGACAGAGAGGGCCAGAAAAGTGGCTGAACAGGAGCTTCTGGATGCCAGTGAGCGTGTGCAGCTCCTCCACACACAAGTAAGAATCTAATTATTTGTATCCTCCTGTAACCAGTAGTTGAGAATGACAAGTCTATGTAAGCATTTCTTTATTGTAAAGGGGAAAAGTGGAATATTTTGAATATTCTTCAGTTATTTTGCTATTGTTTGAAGACAATAAAACCATAGTTAAATGATATTTGCAGATCTTTATATAAAGTGTTTGTAAACATAGTATTGATCTTCCTTTTTCTTTTGTGTTAGTTTAGATGCTATGACACTTTTGTCTTTGTTGAAATTCTGAGGGAAATATGAAAATAAGACCACATAAACAGATATAAAATAAGGTTGCAGGCATTATTCTTGCAATATACAAGTTTATTTTTTAGAATATTATTTCCTGGTTTTTTAAAAATAAATTAATCATTTCATGTTTACTAGAAACTAACAGTATTTTTTGCCTAAACAGAACACCAGCCTGATCAACACCAAGAAGAAACTGGAAACAGATATTACCCAAATCCAGGGTGAAATGGAGGACACTATTCAGGAAGCTCGCAATGCTGAAGAGAGAGCCAAAAAATCCATTACTGATGTAAGTTGATTGATGCCCTTCTTTTGAAATCTGATCCTCTATATACTTATAGCAGGGTCATCTCTTGAACATAGTATCTTCATTAACAGGCAGCCATGATGGCAGAAGAACTTAAGAAAGAACAAGACACTAGTGCCCATCTAGAGAGAATGAAGAAGAATCTAGAACAGACTGTAAAAGATCTACAGCACCGTCTTGATGAGGCAGAACAACTGGCAATGAGGGGTGGCAAGAAGCAGCTTCAGAAATTAGAACATAGAGTATGTATCCATCTCTGTATATGTTTATAGACACTTGTATATAAGGTTGTATGCAATAGGGTGGAGATGATGACTAATTTTCAGCCTGTTTTCCCTTAGGTACGTGAACTTGAAGCTGAAGTTGAGAATGAGCAGAAGCATAGTGTTGAGGCAATTAAGGGTGTACGCAAATATGAGAGACGAGTGAAGGAACTAACTTACCAGGTAAGTGTGATAAGCATGGAATGAAGTTATTTATCAATCAACCACTTTTATCAATCAAACATTATTTATCAACCAAAGAATATTGGGAAAAGAGTACTGGCCCTTTCCATTTGCATATAGTATGTTTATTTGTGATCTTATCTTTCCAAAACTTGTACATAATTTTAGCTGAAAATTTTGAAATCTCTGAATATTTTGACATATATATGACTTAATTTGCCACCTTACCTCTTCCTATCCCCATTTACAATATAATATTGGTAGTTCTTGACTTACAACAGTGCATTTAGTGACTGCTCAAAGCTACAACGGCACTGAAAAAAGTAACTAGAGCTCCTGGTTTCCCAGTTTCTAACCGGGTACCTTAACCATGACACCAAACATATGGCCACAATTGAGCCCAAAATTTTTGCAACCTTATTGTATGTATGTATGTATGTATGTATGTATGTATGTATGTATGTATGTATGTATAAAGTGTTTTTCTATTGAAGCACCTGGACTACCCCAATGTGGGAGGGAGCATACTGCTTCCCTTTTGCCTTTCAGCTCCAATCCAGGAGCCCTCAAGCAGTCACATTCACGACAAATCATTTTATACCAAATTTATGTTTGCTGATAAAGAAATAAAGGGAGACTAGTATAGATCTATTTCAAGCTATTTAGCTCTCATCAGCTAGCCATACCCTTACTCAGATCTATACTAGTCTCCCTTTATTTCTTTATCAGCAAATATAAATTTGGTATATACAAACACACACACACACACACACACACACACACACACACACACACACACACACTCATACACTTGGAAAATCATTTAAAGGGATTCAAATGATAGAAACTCACTTGTTTCATAACTTTGTTTAGTCTGAGGAAGACCGGAAGAATATTCTGAGACTCCAGGATCTGGTGGACAAGCTGCAAATGAAAGTGAAAGCATATAAGAGACAATATGAAGAAACTGTAAGTAATGCATTTGCAATGGAGTAATAATTATATTTCAAATGAATTTGAGTGGCTTCGGGTGTTTGGGCCTCTGGATCTGGGATTTTATCATCTTTGGTACTGGATGGAGTGTCACTGCCCCAGGCAGACCCAGTACATAATCTTGGAGTCTTTCTAGATTCACAACTCCTGCTGAAGTAAAAGGTGGCAATTGTAGCCTGGAAGGCCTTTTCACAACTTTGTGTTGTATACCAAGTGTGCCCCTTCCTGGACCATGAGGTTCTACTCTTGCAGTTACCCATGCCCTGGTCATCTCTAGATTACTGTAATGCACTCAACATGGGGCTGCGCTTGAAGAGTGTCCCAGAAGCTTCAACTGGGCAAAATGTAGCTGAACAGACAGCTATGTGCACCCCTAGGATGGTGCACATTACACCTCTGTTCCAAGAGCTACATTGGTTGTCAGTTTGCTTCCAGGTACAATTAAAGGTGCTGGTTCCACTTTTAAAACCGTACTTGGTATGGGACCATGTTATTGAGGGACTGTCAGGCCTAAGTCCAAATATGACACAATGAACTGAGTTGAGTGTCAAAGTTCCAAGTAATAACCCCATAGCAAGTAAAACTCCAAGGCAGATGAATTCCTCAAAGAATAGCCTTATTGGCACAGACTTGGTGAAAACCGACTCTGAAGGTTCCCACAGCTTTCACCTAATTAAAAGAGAATTTTTTCCTCAACTCCAAACAATTAGTCACATGGTCCAATCAAGATGCTGTCTGGTTGCCTGGTGACCTCACTGCTCCTTCCACAGTCCAGGTGTAAGAATGTCCTTGATTCCCAAGAGAAAGTAGTTTATTTTGGCTACAAAACCCTAGCTATCTCTAATCCCCCCTCCCTATCCCTCAGTTCCAATGTGGCAACAATTGAAGCTTCAAGATGGCTCTGGTCAAGTCAGCTTCATCCAGTTCTTTATTTGACTCTACAAAGAATGCAGAGAAGAGTAAAAAAGATGGTTAGGGGACTTGAGGATAAAACATAAAGAATGGTTGCTGGAACTGAATATGTCTACTCTTATGAAAATAAGGACTAGGGGTGACATGATAGCAGTGTTCCAATATCTCAGGGGTTGCCACAATGAAGAGAGAGTCAAGCTATTCTCCAAATACCGGTTCTCCGAACTGCTCAAAATTTCCAGAAACTGTCAGAACCTGCTGAATTTCCCCCCTGCCTTAAAAGCTTTGTAAAGTGAACTACTGGTAATTCTTTATAGTATTAAACAGAGACTAGATTCAGTTGATTCACCAAAAGTTTTTATACTAAATGTTCCCAATCTGTGAAAGGCAAGCTGAACTTTTCATTTAGCTAAAATTGCACAATGGAGACTCAGTTCTTTCATTTTCACCACAGAAGCTATTACCTTTTTGCATGACATATCTATATCTATATCTATATCTATATCTATATCTATATCTATATCTATATCTATATCTATATCTATATCTATATCTATCTATCTATCTATCTATCTATCTATCTATCTATCTATCTATATCTATATCTATATCTATATCTATACATATGTAGGTCTTTGGTTATTCGGGTCTTCTCCCACGTAAATTGGAAGTGTCTTGGCGACGTTTCGACGAAGTCTCATTCGTCATCTTCAGGCTGGTGTTCTTGGCTTCGTGCTTCCAGGAGCAAAGAAGCCGAGAACACCAGCCTGAAGATGACAAATGAGACTTCGTCGAAACGTCGCCAAGACACTTCCAATTTTACGTGGGAGAAGACCCGAATAACCAAAGACCTACATACAAACACCCGCGAAAACCTGAGAAAACATATATACATATATATATATATCACATAAGTAGACTTATTTTTAACCATACCTTTTTCATTCTCAGGAAGAGCAATCTAATTTTAACCTCAGCAAATTCCGCAAAATTCAGCATGAGCTGGAAGAAGCTGAAGAAAGGGCTGATATTGCAGAATCGCAAGTGAACAAACTGAGAGTGAAGTCTCGAGAAATTGGAAAACAGACACCAGGGGAAGAATAAACTTCTCTGCTTCAAGGTGACTGAAGAAATGCACAAAATGTGGATCTCTTAGTCACTCGGATGTGTAATTATTGTGTTCTGTCTTCAGTGTCTAGGAAATAAAGATGATAGAAATGTTTGCATACATAAAGAGGATGTGATCTTATTATGGGTTTTGCTCTCCCATAGGAAATCTGAAACTTCTCCTTAGAGAGATAATTAATTTAATTAATTTAATTTAATTTAATCTCCGAAGACTCAGGGCGGCTAGAGATAACACTATCTGAACACGATAAACATTTATGAATATTCTGCAGGAATCACTTGCCATGTGCTATGCTAGGGTTGATGTAAGTTGAAGTTAAAAACATAGAGCAGACACCAGTTTGAATGCCCTGATATGATTTCATTTGTAGATAATTATTTTCAGATAAACTATGAATCCAGCTGAATTGGAATAAAGACTAATGTAGCCAAGTATCCTTGGTTGTTCAACAAATTATGATTCAAGAAATAGGACATCGGTGCCACATGATAGTGGTCTCTAGTTTCTCATCGTGTTTCTTTATTAATCACATCCCTGGATGTATATTCATAAATTCGCTCATATTATTTCTATACTATCTTTCACACAAATACCACCTAAACTTTGCTTAAAAACTATAAAAGTAAAAATGAAATAGTTTAATTATGAGATTAAAATGATACCTTAATGAGAAAAAAATAATACCCCAAATAACACCAAAACCAGTTTTTAAAAACACTTAGAAACAGAAATATTTTAATTATGAGATTAAAGCAATACTTAAAATATGAGAATATTTTAAATATGAGAAACCACTAAATGAAATACTGCATGAAAGATAAATTTTCAAAGATGGAGGGTATACAGATTTCTTTCAGTAAAAGATAATGAAATGGTAGTCATTGCCTAAAAGGTTCTTTCTTTTCTATCAGCCAATCAGCTAGGTCTCTTCTGATTAATATACAATAACTGAGAAATAGGATTTCACAAGAAAACATGTGATACAGCTTGCAGCAAAACAGTGGTAACACCACAGAAATTTCTGCAAATTGCTCCTCAGAATGGGAGACAGAATACCTATAAACCACAACCAGGTGCAATACCTCTGTTTGTCCAATGTTCTCCTTCACAAGACTCTTGAAGGATGTAATGAATATAGAGGACAGTCTTGAAGGACAAAGGTAAGGTCCATGGCCAAGGCAACAGTCAAACAAAGGAGGCATGAGCCCAGGCCAAGAAAATGATTTATGAAAATGCCTCATACAGCCTCCCCTTCCATTTCATATGAGGATAAGAAAGGAAGGAAGGGAAGGACATTCAGGCTTGCAAGATTCTGTTCTAATAAAAGTAGTTTTAGGTCTATGCAGTGTCTGTTTGTTAGCTCTGTCTTTTATGGGTGACATCTTAACAAGTAATATCGCAATATATTTTCTGAATTGTTAGCTGTACAGAATCATTCACTGAGATGGACGGCCATAGAACATGAACAAACAAACAAACAAACAAACAAACAAACAACAGAGGGATAGTTTCCAACTCCAATATCCAGTTTTCTATAAAACAGAGACAGATGTTTTCATTTTTCAATTTTCAAAGTACTTTAAGTGAAATCATCGTACAGAGCAGCTTTGTTCTTCATTGAGAATGCCTTACATAGATAGGCATGTGTCTGACATGACTCAGGAGCTTAGGGACTGAAAGAACACATTCAAAATCAAATAAGAGCTCCCTTTTCCAATTTGTGCACGTCTATTTGACATGATGTAACAAATACATAGATAAATGTATTTTTCAGAGATATACATCTCAAAAAAAAGTATTTATATTTTAGTCAATATTCCCTGACCAGCTTTTATCGGTTTCCTCAAAACTGAGACAATAAGCCAGTTGTTTTGGTTGCAGCAGTGGTGTAACTAATAACTAAATGAAATAAAACATTACCATATAAAGAGTTAATTAATATGTAATCAATGTAGATGGGTTCAGTTACAATGGTGATGAATGCACAGCTAGGAGACTTGAAATAATAGATTAGGGATATGTTGCCAGGGAGAAAATGCATCTTTGTGATTGCTAGGAGTCAGAAATAACTTGATGCCACATAATCAAGCAATACATCACATCTGCAGTCCAACTTCATTTCTTTATACTGAGAGAAACACATTCTGAAATCATATGTTGGTTTCTCCCATGATGTTTGAAATATGTATAGTACATATCTTCTGATACACATTGTATAGCAAGAGTAAAGTGAAGGAATTAATAAAGCCTCAAGAGTTATATTTAAGATTAGTAGGGATCCTTCATGTGGCTGTAGTGATAATTTTTGGTGTTATACACCTTTTCTTTTGTAACCCTCTTGTACTTTCTGAATACTTAGTTTTTCATACCCAGCTTCTATAGAGGAAAACTTGAGTTAATGATAAAGTTAATGCTGAAAGTTAAATAATACAATCCTCCATCTGGAAGCATCTCAGTTTAGTTTCTCTAATGCAGTTCTGAAAGAACCAATTTGAGGAGTATTTAAGAAGTACTTTAATTTTGAGCAAATTATCTCACAGCTGAGGAATTTGCCAGTAGAAGCATCTGGCTGCTAATCCCATTGCTATTGTTCATTTACTTTGAAGTTTCTCATTTGGAGTTCACTAAAGTAAAACTGCTAAAAAGTCTGGCAAATACTAAGGCATATTTTTTCGTCTCCTTACCAAACTCAGTGACTTGCTTGCCTTACTTTGATATTTCTGTAAGCACGTGGTCAAAAATAGTATAAATCATTATGCTGCGTTTCCCTTTTTCTGGTCTTCATCAATCTGTTGTGCTTCAGTTGTTTGGATTATAGCTTGCATAATCAGAGTTGTAATTCACTGTATCTGAAGGACACCAGAGTGGGGAAGGTTGCTGTAAACCAATG